CCCCCCAGCACCGCCGGCCCCTGGCCCCGCCCCCGGCCCAGCAGCGCCGGCTTTGCCGGACACGTTCGGCATTTTGGGATTTCCCCCCGGACAGGGATTTGAGTCCCAAAAAGCCGGACATGTCCGGGAAAATCCGGACGTATGGTAACCCTAAGCAGCTCCAAGGCAGAGGGCAGGAGCAGCACATGGCAGTGGGGGGAGGGACATCTGCAATTACTAGCCTGCTGGGCAGCTGCTACACAGGGAACTTAGGGGAGCGGGGAGCTGATAGGGGGCTGCTGGTCCACCCTGGTTCCAAGCCCCCACCAGCTAGCTGCAAAGGGCTGCTCTTCCTGCAAGCAGTGGACAAAGCAGGCGGCTGCCAAACGACGTTAGAAGGGAGCATTGCACAACTTTAAATGAGCATGTTCCCAAATTGATCAGCAACATAACAACGAAACAACATTAACCAGGACGACTTTAAGTGAAGAGTTACTGTATAAAAGTGAAAGCTGAATTAAAGTATGCTTCCACTTCACATTACTACACCTTAGCAATCACCATGGAAAGCACTATTTGATCCCACTAATTTATATTTGTCTTAAATATTTATAACATTACCAACCACTCTCTCACTATATATAAGTACAATACAGAGACATTTATGTCATGTTATCTTCGAATGTCATTCCCCAACACTACTTAACACGTAAGTATGTTACGGAGTAATCATTTTTTAAACAGGTTAAATACCATTGGCTATGCCATTCAAGAGTAATCATGTTTTCTCTTTTTATTTTGGCATTACTGAAATAATAAGAATGCAACACAAGTGTTTTATTCAGAGCAGAATGTCAAAAGCCAACTATGATGCTGCTGTATTCAGCTTAAAGTAAACTGGTATGGTTCTGCTAGTTGATGAAGACCTACTGAAAAATACTGAGTGCTCATAGCAACTTTTGAAGACAGTGATAGTTGAGGGTGCTTGATAAATATAGGGAAGATACAATGCTTTATAGCCCCAACATTACAATGTTTTATAATTTTGTAACTTTTTAAAATGTGATGCCTGATAAAGAAATAATACAGAAGACAGATAATTGCCTGCTTCTTTCACTATAAATCTAACATCAAAAGCAAACTCACTTTCATATTTAAAATTTAAATCTTCCTGTTTATTGCATTTTTATTAACTATGTGGGTACTTGAAAGAAGCCTATTTAATTAGCATCTTACAATTTGTTTTCCTATTTCAACTTCACCCATTTCTAGAACTACAGTATCAACTGCATAATGCTTGGTTCAACTGATAAAAATCCATGGAGCCAATCCTGCAAACCTGTATTTACACAACAACTCTCAATGAAGTCAATGGGACAGTTCCTGCAAGTGAGGACTACCTTTAGAAGTGTTTGCAGGAGAGGTTTCTATATTACCAACTATTTTTACAATACTTTGACTCCCAAACGCACACATTTTATTTTGAGACCAGAATTATTTGACTAAAACGTTCCAAATCAAATATCCATATAAATATACACAGATGACATTTTATAAAAATACTTACCTCAAATTTAAACCATTCTGAGTTCCACTGAGGATTGAGAGATTTGGGGTACACATCTGTCTTAAATGTGGTATTTCCAAATTTTACCTAAAAATACAAGCAAACATTCAATGACAAATAAAAGAATATCATTTATTAGTACTTAGTAATTTATTCCCAAATATATTGCTAGTTAGCTACTGTCACAGATCCACAGGATCTGTGCTATACCCCAGCTTTTAAACAGTCTCTTGGAGGAACCCCGTTAGTGTGTCAGAGCCCCAGGGCATCTCAAAAAGAACAGGAGTACTTGTGGCACCTTAGAGACTAACAAATTTATTTGAGCATAAGCTTTCGTGGGCTACAGCCCACTTCTTCGGATGCTTCTCACTCTTTCTTTACAGTAGGCCATGCAGCCTCACTGCCTCCGATACTGAGCCTCGGGGCTACTGCTTCACAGCATGAGCTCTTCCCAGATAGTCCAGTTTAGACAGACTCCTGGTTAACGACTTGTACACTCTTCAAGAACTAATGCACTTCAGGAAGTATTCACAGTGGCACCACACAGCATTTTTAAAACAGAGGAGGCTTTGTTACTCAACTGGAACACAATACTGGAAGTCCTTATATTAGCACAGAAAAACAAAGGTTAAAAACATAGTGCATCTTCACAAGCTACAGCTATCCATCAGCCAAACTGTAGAGCAGGGGTGGCCCTCTTTTACTATTAAAGTGCGGTTCACGGAGCTTGGGGGTACTCGGGATCTCTGCCTTGCAGTGGGGTGGTGGGGTAGCAGCTTCTGCACAGTGGGGAGGGTGGGGTCTTGGGAGTTCTGCACCGCGGGGTGCACCTGCTGGTGCTCCAGCAGGAGCGGGGCTGAAGCTCCAAGCCCCGAAAGGCGTGCCCTAGCTCTAAAACTTCTGAAGATTATCATATGTTGCTCAGAGGGTCAGTAAATTTGGCCACCCCTGCTGTAGAGAATTCCATCTTCGACTCTTTTTCTCTCTGACTCAGTAGTTAGTCCCAGGTGACACCAGCCAGTTTCTTCCAGAAGCCAGCCCTTTACCCCCTGCCAAATTCTTTGCTCCTGAGTTGAGGTCTCTACTCAGCAGAGGGAACCTCCAACCTCTGGGTCGTTTGTTGGTAGCTGTGAAGGTACTGGTCACTGGGGCTTCCATTGTCTCTTCTGGATTCTGCATTGATAAGGATTACTTTTATCAGGTCTCAGCCAATTCCTTAAATCAGTGGTTCTCAACCAGGGTACGTGTGCCCCTGGGGGTATGCAGGAGTCTTCTAGGGGGGTATATTAACTCATCTAGATATTTGCCTAATTTTACAACAGGCTACATAAAAAGCACTAGCGAAGTCAGCACAAATTAAAATGCCATACGACTTATTTATACTGCTCTATATACTATACACTGAACTGTAAGTACAATATTTACATTCCAGTTGATTTTATAATTATATGGTAAAAATGAGAAAGTCAGCAATTTTTCATTAATAGTGTGCTGTGGCACTTGTATTTTTATGTCTGATTTTGTAAGCAAGTAGTTTTTAAGTGAGGTGAAACTTGGGGGTACGCAAGACTAATCAGACTCCTAAGTATGGTACAAATCTTGAAAGGTTGAGAACCACTGCCTTAAATGACTCCTTCACTGCTACCCACAGAGCAAGGCAACACCTATACCTCATTTCCTGTGCTGCCCCAGAGCAGAATTAACCCTTCTCCCCGCCCCCCACCACAGGATAGGAATGCAAAGTAAAGAGGGAAACTGAGGTACACATAGGTGTCAAAAAATATTATGAAAAATCCCCACTTCATCACATCTATATTAAACCTAAGCAAACTGTACTTCAGAATCTCTTTCTAGCTTCATGATTCAATTAACATGGATCAGTAAGTGACTTGTTTACTTATCCCAATGGTCACACTTCTAATAAATTTCTCTCCGTCTCTACTATAACAGCTGATGTTTCTTTTCTCCTCTCCCACTCTATGTGTTCTCTTCATGATCACTTTATAATTCAATTTAAGCTACCACTCAAACCAGATAGCTGGTCCCTTAAATGAAATCAGACCCAGCATGCATGTTCCAGTCCAGGTGCAATCTATTTTGGTGTAATGAGGAGGGCAGGGCTGTCCGAGGGAGTGATAAATAAGAGACAGAGCCAAGGTAATGGAGTTCAGAATCCAGAGAATAAAGAACTCAGAAGAACAGAGCTTCAAGAAGGGAATGCCCCAGACAGAGGAAGCAGTAAGAGTTCCCTAGTGAGCAGTGGTGCCAGATAAGGCTAGTGAAAGCAGAAGGCAATCAGAAGATCACCTACAAACTCCCCCAAACCACAGAGCCAAGGCTAAAGAGGGCTGAAGGCTATGAGGAACAGAGGGAGAAGCCTACTGACTCTCTGAGCTAAAGAACTGAAGCCAGAGGGGCAGAGAGGATGAAGGCTGGGGAATGATGGGAGGGGAGAGTCCACTGAGGTCTCCCAGCAAGAGCTGGAACCATATATGGAAGGAAACAGGCCTGAGAGCTGAAAAGAACCCCAGCTGGAGCAGCTAGGGCAAGGCATAGTGAGAGATGCTGGAGCCATACCAAAGAACTTGAGCGCAGTGGGAGACACCAGAGTTGTACTTGGTGTGTTGATGGACTGGTAGGATTTGAAAGACTGAAAGTACAATTTAGACTGTGCTGGGGAATTCTTGACTATAGTTGTAGGACTTCTGTAATAAATTAACCCCTACAAAGGCTATTTATATTCTGAAAACTGGTGTGAAGTTTCTCCAGAAGAAAGGGGAAACTGAGGCAGACCCATTCGTTGCACCACGGTCTGACGCAGAAGGGAGCCCCAAAGGGCCACCCAATGACATAAGGTGGAGAATGCAGACCAGGTTGGATGAAAATCAATGCTTCTTTTTTAAAAAAAAAAAATTAAATCGATTTTTTATTTAAATCGGAGTTTTTGATAAAATGCTTTTTGAG